GGATCGCCAGATTTGGGGCACAATCGTGGACCTTCTGCGTCGCAAGTGGTCCATGGACGATGCCTTCCATGAACTCACGCATGGCCGCATGGAGATCCATTCGCTCCTGATGCTGCGACCCAAAATCTCCAAAGCCATGCCTTCACTACCCCCCGCTAAACGGGCCCAACTGACTCCCAAGCAGCCCAAACGGCCGGCCAGCCGGCCGCCAAAATCCGAACCGCCGCACAAGAAAGGCAAAGGCAAGGGGAAAGGAAAGTCCAAAAACGCCTGGGCTACCTCACACAATGGAAAGCCTATTTGCCGCAGATTCCAAACGGGGCAGTGCAAATCAGACAACTGTCAGTTTGCACATGTGTGCGCGATAAAGGGGTGCCAGCAGACGCATCCGGCATCCCAGCACGCATCGAACCACACATGAAACAGTCCGACGGAAGTCCCGGCAACTTCCCCGGACGGTGCAGTACCGCCGGCCGCATCCAATGTGCCCCATCCCGCATGCCAACCCACACCGGCCTCGCATACGCCCAGGGGAGGACTATTGCTGGACGTTTTCGCAGGTGTGCGTGCACCAATTTCCGCAGCAGCAGACCAACGAGGCCTGGCGCGCTTCGAAGCCTTTGACCTGGACGCCAATCCTCAGCACAACATTCTGGATGACGCATGGTTCGAACTGCTTCTGCGCATATGCTGGTCGGGCAGCGTGAGTTTGCTAACCCTAGCACCGCCGTGCAAGGAATACTCCCGGCTCAAGCTGAGGCCGGGCGGGCCCAAAGCATTACGCACACCTTCATGCATGCTAGGTGTGCCCAATTTGTCACCAGCAGAACTCTCTCGGGTTCGCGACAGCCGCGAAATCCACAGAAGAGGACGAGAGCTGTTCAAAGCAGTAGCCTCACAAAGTGGCGTAGCGATCTTCGAGCAGCCACCGTCCAGCATGGCGTGGTTAGAGCCGGAAAATTTCCAGTGCTTACAAAACTTTCACGGGCACCTCGCATGGGTGGACGCGTGCCAACATGGTATGCTGCTCTCCAAATCATGGTGCTTCGCCAGCAACAATGCCTGCATCCAGCATATGGCCAGCAGATGCACGCATCAACAAAAGCACGCCAGCATTGCTGGAGTTCAAAGAAGCTCAGGCCAGTACCTGAGCACGCTTACAGCCGAGTACCCGGCAAGTCTCGCAGCAAGTTTGATCAAACATTGCGCATTCAAAGTGAGCACGCAGCCCGAGGTCCGCCGCTTAAGCAAACCCTCCCCGCTTTCACTGCACCCCGTGCGCCTGCGGGTATGCGACGGAGCTGGCATGCATTCAACTGCAGACCACTCAATCCCTCAACCAAACCACCCGCTCACCGTAGTCGCACGGGCCTGGCTGCATTGGCTAAACGAACAAAAACTCATCCCAAAAATTCTGGCCCACGTGGGCTCCGGCAACGCATCCCCTCCTCTCTCGGAACAGCAATCCGAGGAGGCAGCACGAATAGCATTCCGAGCCATGAGCATGCCGTGCCCATCCGAGCTTGCGCCCGATGAAGGACAGCCGTACCGCCTATCACTTTTGCATGCCCTAGCGACGGCATCCAGTGACCCCGACCTCAAACTAGTGCCGCTGCTGGCAGAAGGCGTGCCAACAGGGGCGGTGTCGGAGTTGCCACGCAGCATGCAGTGGCCGCCAAAACCCCAGGCAGACCTGCCTAGTGAACTCACCGAGTGCATCGGCAACTGGAAAGCCGCTGAAGCGGAACCAGAAACAGTGTCCGCATTGCTAGAAAAAGAAATCGCAAACGGATGGGTCATTCGTACCAGCATGTCCATCGAACAAGCCAGACAGCATTGGCCTAAAGGCATAGCAGTCGGGAAGCTCAGTCGTGCATGCGGAGGGCAAAGACCCGCGACTAGTCTTAGACAGCACTGTGTGTGGAGTGAACCCCAAGTGCGCAATTCCCGAACGCATCAGCCTGCCAATGGCCTCAGACGTGCGCTTAGCCTTCCTCCCCGAGGACACGCACTCGTCCTTTGCGGGGGCAAGCTTTGATTTCAAAGCAGCGCATAAGCAGATCCAAGTGCACCCCAGTGAACATGGCCTGCTTTTGTTTCGGGTTGCCGATGTCCTGTACCATTATAGAGTGTGCCACTTCGGAGCACGCTTCTCTGCATACTGGTGGCAGCGCACCGGAGCATTCCTCCTGAGACTACTGCACAGCATTTTGGGACTGCACCCGCATCGCGCATGGTTGTTCGTAGATGACCTTTTAGCCGCACTGCGTCGCAATCACGCAGACTCGCAGCTGGCCCTCATGGTCATGTTTTTTGCAGCCATATCGGCCCCAATTTCCTGGAAGAAAGTTCAATTTCAGGACAACCTCACGTGGTGTGGGTGGCGCATTAATTTCCTGCACGAGACCATCGAACTCACGCCGGAAAAAACTATCAAATTGAAAGGACAGTTGCACGAGCTGCTCAAAGCAGGAAAGGTCAAGCGCAAACTCCTAGAGCAGGTTCTAGGACTTCTCATTTGGGCTACCAGTCTGAGCCCCGAACTCAGATCCTGGCTAGCGCCATTGTACACAGACCTGCACTCGCCGCCGGGTTGCATGATCTCTGTCCATGCGCGTTTATGGCCATCTTTCCTTTCAGCATTGGACGCCAAAGCCGTGCTCAAATCAGCAGTGCGTGGCATTTTTATGCCGATAGGCTCTAAAGTTCTAGAGTTCCAAGGGGCCTGCATCCGCACACCTGCCGACCTGCCTCGCGTTGTGCCTAGCCACAAATCCGCTTGGGTGCGCATAGCGGACGCCTCCGCAGAGCACACTCGCCTATCCAAGATAAGCAAACACAGCGTAGAATGGCTGCTGCAATGCTTCCATCTAGACCTCGCATGCCCGCTGAGAAGCAAACCAATGCTGGCTTGCAAGGCCGCCGCGGATGCATGCGCCGAGGGCAGTATAGTAGGCATAGGAGGCTGGTTCATCTCCCGCAACTCCGTTGCGTGGTTTGCAGAGACATGGCAATTCCAAGAAGTCCAGGAACAATGGCCATGCCTGACCAAAGAAGCCCAGCGTTACATCGCATGCTTCGAAACCTTGGCCCAACTAGCACTCATGCGGATCGCGTGGTCCTGCGAGGGACAAGGCGTGCATGGCATTTGCATGCCCACAGGAACAGATAACACGGCTTCCGAAGCCGGTGTTAATAAGCTGTTCACCACTTCTTGGCCCTTGCAAGTCTTTGTGCAACTTGTTGCTGCCTGGGCCCATAAGCACAAATGGTCCGTGATCGCGTCACACATCCCAGGGGAGCACAACATCTGGGCAGACCAGCTGAGCAGAGGTAATACCTCCGCTTTCCGGGCGACCAGAAGCCAGAGTGCGCTTCAGGCCGCATGATTTCTGGCCTCACGCATCAGCTCTCACACTTCACCCTGCGGACGCACCGTGGAGACCCGAGCACGTGGCTGCTGCGCAAACGCACTAAAGAGGGGGTAAGGTGATTTGACCGTTTGCTTAGAACTCTAAAGTGGGGGTATTCCGACAGGCTCCGCATGAGATGCAGGAAAATGGAGTGGACGCGCATCGTCACTCCACCTGCATCTCTGAGCCTGCACTTCTAAGCAACGCTCAAGTAAAAAAGCGCGTATCGAGTTTGCTCCGGTCGGTTGCTTTTTTCCCTGCATGTCCCTTTAGGCTTGAAGCAGTGACCAAGATTCTAACGCTAGGGGTTTGTCTTTTCCCCTGTGTTTTAATCTTGGTTGAATCTTCGGCCGCGTGCCATTTCTGCTTCAAGCCTTTTGGTAAGGGACATGCCTGGAGGGTTTGACCCCTCTTTCGTTCTTTTTGAACCCACCCTCCCACCCTTTCACGGCCCAGGTGGCATGCAGCCTCCACCAGGCCTGATTGAGGGACGCATGCACCCGCATGAATGGAAGCTGGTCAGCTCCCAACATTTCGTTGCATTACTGCATCTCGATACTCCCGCAGGACCATTTCGAGCATACGCAGCGAAGCCCACGCAGTGCACGCCATCGCACATTGACGAATGCCATAGGCGTTCTGCCGGCCCGGACTGGCCCCCTGCAGGAGGACGCATCCTCCCATGCACACTCATGCACGCATTGCATGCATGTGCAACATACCTCTTTTTCGTCTCACACCCCACGGGTAAAACACCCTGTGTGATGGTCGAACACGCAATGTTGACCTCAGGAGGGGTATTCCGACAGGCTCCGCATGAGATGCAGGAAAATGGAGTGGACGCGCATCGTCACTCCACCTGCATCTCTGAGCCTGCACTTCTAAGCAACGCTCAAGTAAAAAAGCGCGTATCGAGTTTGCTCCGGTCGGTTGCTTTTTTCCCTGCATGTCCCTTTAGGCTTGAAGCAGTGACCAAGATTCTAACAGTTGTGGACTCTCGAGTCATAGATCAGAATGGCATGGCAGCCCATGGGTCAGATCGCGCCATCGGTTCAAGCCCACGGGTCAGTGTGGATTCTTGTCAGTGCTTGTTTTTTATTAAGGGGCTTTGGTTGCTTGCTTCTTGAGCTTGGATTGCGTTCTCAAAAAAATTTGAGGTACCTCCATGTTGGCCCGGGTCACGCAAACCGGATTCCGTTAGTGCTTGGGCAAGCAGCCATGGCCTTGACCCCGGAAGAGAAACGAGCATGGGTGGATTCACATGTCAGTGCAGATTTGAAATTCATTTTCAATGAGTGTGGTCTGGATGGCGACTTGCAGTATGATGTATCACAATTTTACAAGACGACCATGCGTATTGGGGCCATCGCTGACAGTCGAGGCTTGAGAGAAGCTACGCAGCAAGATTTTCAGGTGGCCGTGGATACTCCTGCTGGCCGAGCCCGGATGTCAGCGGCTGTTTCGGCATGGGAGACAGCAAAGCAGGTATCAGACGAGGACATCAAGCAGTCGAAGAACCTGGGAATTTGCAGACCTCATCGGACCGATCAGCAATGATTCGTGCGTTAGAAGTGGCCCGGGCAAAGGATGCCTGACCAAGAGACTCCCTCCAACGAGTACCTATCACAGCTTCTGGAAATGGTGGAGGAGGACGATTTGGTGGCATGTCACCTGGACGAGGTGATCAGCAAGGCGGAGTCGAGCACTCTGCAACTACAGACCAGTTTGGATCAGGCAGGGCGTTTGAGGGTGTCGCGTTAAGGAAAGCTGCCGCAGACGACAGAAGAGCTGCGAAGGAAGTTGAGAATCGAGGCAAACGCCTGGATGATGATGGCGTCCAAAATGAAGAACAAGCCGTATTTACAAAACCTGGAGCTGCAGCATTTTGACAGATTACAGGTGAAAGGGTTTCACTCAAACCCCACTGGCATGTCCTCCTTACGTATGAGTACGAACTGCGTAAGAGGGCCATCAAGGACGCCTACAAGAAGCAACTGAGTTTGGGGGTCACCTTGAAGCAGGTTTGCGCCGATGCAGAACTGAAGGAGCTGTATTTTACAAGGCCCGAGAAGTTTCAGAAGTTTGGTTTTGGTAAGGGGTCCTCTCCGGGCAAATCGTCTAAAAGTTTCGGGAAAGGAAACAAAGGTCAGTCAACCCTGCCGGGTACAAATTTGCGGCTGGCTTCAAAGACACCAGATGGCAGGGAGATATGCTTCCGCTACAACATGAAGGGACTGAAGTGCGACGGTCGATGCAAACGTTTGCATGTTTGTCGTGTGCAGAATTGCCACAAAGCCCATCCTGCATTTTTGCATGATTCCAAGGCCCCATCCCCAGAGGGGGGCAACTGACAGTTGACCGAGCTCCAGGATCTCGGGTGGTTTACATTTTTGCAGGCCACTCGCGGAGATCCGACATCAAGTTTCACCTGGATGTCAAAGCACAGTCTTTTGGTTTTCAGTTGCATATGCTGGAATTTGACACCCTGAGGAATCCCCTGCATGACGTTCTGGATCCTTCATGTTGGTCAAAGATCAAACTGGAGATTCAAGCTTTCCACCCGCAAGTTATTATTTGCACACCCCCTTGCTCAACCTTCAGCAGAGCAAGGCACAGTGGCAGGCCAGGACCTGTCCCCATTCGGAGCTTCGAATTCCCCAAGGGATTTCCTTGGCTATCCAATCAGCACCGCCAACAAGCTGAGGCAGGGAATCGTTTTGTGGATGTTATGTGGGAACTGGCAGTATTTGCGCAGCAGACAAAGGCACACTTTCTGGGCGAGCACCCAGAAGACCTGGGCTTGGCTCAAAAAGGGCGTCCCGCCAGCATTTGGCAGGACCAACGTTTTCAGGACCTGCTGCAGCAGCCAGGCTTTGGCACATTCGCTTTGTTCCAGTGCATGTTTGGTGCAGCTACAAGCAAACCTACACGCTTTGTCACTGACTTGCAGCACTGGTCTTCGCAAATGTGTTGGGGACCTCCACAGTTTCAGAAAGATGTGTACACCGGTCCCCTGCCCACTTCGTGTCCACATGGCAAGCATGATGCGCAACTGATCGGCCTGGGGTCTGACGGAAACTGGAAAACCTCTCCAGCAGCTCACTATCCAGGGCAGCTTGCAGTGGCCATCCTTAAAACAAGTGGCCCGCCTTCCGCCGCTGCCGAGGGGGAATCCTCTCTGGAAGGCGGGCGTGGAGGGATCAAACGCAAGTCCCCGGGGGTTGAGCCTGGTGGCAACTTCCCGGCGCCTTCCTCGAAGAAACGTTCGGAGGATCCACCAGAGGAAGACCTGCACTTCTCCTTGGTGCAATCGGGTTGCGCTGGGCCTCCTTTGCAGGCGGCATGGGCTGGACGCAAAGATGAGTTTATTGATGGGTTTGGAGAGTGCAGCCCAGGAAGGTGGCATCCGGCAGCCAGAGGTTTGCGCAAAACCGCAGTGCAGAGGGCCTTCGTTCAGCGTCTTCGTGGCATCCTGGACGAATTTTGCTTGAACAACTTGCCGGACGTTGCTAGGTCAACATTCATGCTGGCCACCGGGAAGATACAACAGTCACCTTTCTCGGACAGCGCTATTGCGAACCTCCGCAGCAAATGGTTCTCGCTCCTGCCAAACAGTTCCCTGGCCGCAGAGATACCGGAGTTTCAGCCGTTCTACTTGCATGCTCTTTCGCAGACTATGGAGATGTTGGGAGACCCTGACTTTGCCATCCTGGACAGGGAGTCCGATGGCAACTTTGCTGAGGGGGTGCCTGTGGGGCACCGCGAGCCCCTATCTCATGTTTGCCAGGTTTTCAGAAAGCGGAGGAAGGATCAGAAGTATGACGAGACTGAGCTCCAACTAGACATGATGAACTTCCAGACGGACTCAGATGCGGAAAAGGCCTTGCAACAGCAGTTTGCAGAGGAGGAGGCGTGCGGACGGATGTTTCCCCTGTCGGAGCGACTGGCTCGGCAAAGGTATCCAGGTGACAATCTGCGTATTGCAGCCCTTGGCGTCCTGAACAAACCTGGAGGTGGCCACAGGGTCATTCACGATGGCACACATGGAGTCAATGTAAACAACCAGATCGTCATTGACAACAGACTGGAGAATCCCGGCCCTAGGGAAATTGCAATTCTCACGGCGGAGTCGGTAGAAGCTGGCGAGCGTGTGGTCTTTGGCATCTGTGGGGATATAGCAAAGGCCCATAGGCGGGTGCGACACTCGGAACGTGACTGGGGCGTTCTAGCTTGTCGCGCTTCTCCCTTGTCGCAAACAGTCTGGCTCAACAGAGTTGGAACGTTTGGGATTGCCTCGGCAGCTTTCTGGTGGAGGCCTTTTGGGACGTCTGGCTCTACACGTCTCTGAGCGGGATTGGGTTTGGGCTTTTTTGCGGCCGGGGGCAGCAACCGCTGGCTGACCATCTGGAGGTTCTTGGTGTGCCTAATCATGGCGGGCGTCCCTTTTGCCTACCACAACTTCCGCGGAGGACTGCAACTGGACTTCGTGGGTTACTGGTTGGACTACACTCGTTTTTCCTTGGGCATCGCTGAGCGGAGAGTGCGGTGGATTCTGGACTTTGTGGCAAGTCTGGAGCGCGATGGATCTCTGGTTGAGGTGCGCCGTTACCAGGAGTTCCACGGGCGTTTGGGCTTCATGTCGCAGGTCCTGCCCTGGATTCGCCCCTTCTTGGCTCCTGGCTACGCTTGGCTCGCTAAGGCCAAGCCGGGTGCAGTCATGAAGGTGCCGGATGCAGTCTCTTTTTGCAACGCTTTCATTCGGGACAAGTTGATGGCTGGGGTGAGGCTTACCCCTTGCCACCCGCGCGAGTGGATTTGTGGTGAGCTGTTCAGATGCGATGCCAAGTGCGCCGAACAGGAAGTTGTCTTGGGCGGCTGGTTGTGCCTGAGCCAGATGGACCCCGCTAAGCCCCTGGTACAGCTTGAGGTTGTCGCCGAAGGACGTTCCTTGGCTCTTCCGGTCGGGCATCAAGTTGGGCGAGCGCTACGGCAGAGCTTTTAGCGGCACTGGTTTCCTTCATGGTGCTCCCGTGGAGGGCCTCCGTACCTGATCAAGGATCTGTGCACAACCTGGTCTTGGTTGGGGGGACCGACAACTCGGCGGTGGAAGCTCTGACCAGGAAGCAGCTCAGCACAAAGACCCCTCTCATGGCGGTCATGATGGAATACTTTCATCAAGCAGATTTGGCAGGCGCCCGATGCCGCATGGACTGGAGGCCTAGGGATGAGAATCAACCGGCGGACGATCTCACCAACAGCAAGTTTGACCTTTTTGACAAAGATCTGCGGGTTCATGTTGAATGGAACAAACTGCAGTTTCACATGTTGCACAAGTTGATCACCGCGGTTCAGTGCTTGTCAACTCAGAGCGCTGACAGCGGGATGGAGGGCAGTCCAAATGCTAGCGGCTCTCGCCCATCACATCAGAAACCAGAATGGGCATGATCCTGCGTAACACTCCGGATATGCCCACGGGTCTGTTGGAGCCAAGTGGCCTTGGGACCACTTGCTCTCAGTAAAAGGTGCAGGATTACGGAGCCAGAGCCTAGCAATATATGTTTGGCCTTCCATCCAGCGGAAAAGATGCGCGAATCACCGTGTCATACTGTCATGTGCGGTTAAACTTTTGAGAGTCTATGCAGGTGCATGTTTCACTCTAGCCGCAGCCTTCAAGGTTCGAGATTTCCCCCTTTTGGGGCCTTCCCCCCTAACTGTGGGTGGTCCCTTTTGCCGGGAGTCCTTTTGGGCTTTTGGGGTCTTGGGGCTTTTTGAGCTGCAGGGGCATCCCTGTGACGGAACAAGCCTAAGTTGGGGCTCGCGTACCAACTGGTTTGTTCCCTGAAGGGTGTGACCCCTTTTTGGGTTGGGGGGGGGGGTGGGGCCTCTTCCCCCTTTTCATTTTCTTGAGGCCTTGTTTTCGGTGTTGAACAACAGGACAGTTTCAAACTCTTGCCACAAATTTGGCAAGCTTGATTTTTAGTTTGGACAAGTTGTACAGTTGTTGTGCAAATATCTTGCATGCATAAGCTCGGCTCCTAATAGGAAATTTTGATACCCGCCCTCCCTTCCCTGGAGGTGTTTATAACACTGCAGCCTTCAAGGTTCGAGATTTCCCCCTTTTGGGGCCTTCCCCCCTAACTGTGGGTGGTCCCTTTTGCCGAGTCGTGTGCTGCAGGGGCCGAGGGTTGGGGTCCTCGCTGGACTGTACGAAATCGTCCAGGTAGAAGTGGCTTGTGACGAACGACGTGGCCTTGCGGCCCGGCTGGTCCAGGCTCAGCGGCTCATATCCGCTCAATTTGGTGCGCCCGAAGCGTCTTCATTTACTGTTGCGCAACTTCGTCCGCCGCCCGTTCCACGCCCCTGCGCTCGGCGCGCGCGTAGCGCAGCTGGGGTACCTGGCGGTGCACGGCCTCCGTCAGCCGGCTCACGTCGTCCAGGTGCCGCTGCCCCTCCTGCGCCTGCCTGCGCTCGCCTAGCCAGTTGTTGAAGGCCCGCGCCTCCTCCAGTTCTCGGTAGCGCTTCAGCAGCAGCGGCTGCAAGTTGTAACTGGGGTACGTCCTGCGGAACCACCGGAGCATCCGCGGCTCGTTGCGGGGCTCAATGGACATCATGCTTTTATACCAGTACGCTTGCGCCTGTTGTCAACCGGTCATAAGCGGACTGCCTCTCCAGCATGCGCAGGGCGCGCTGCTGCTCTCTTGTGAGCTGAGGCGCCTCCGGTGCCTCAACCGGTGCCTCAGCCGGTGCCTCAGCCGGTGCCTCTGCTGGTGCCTCCGCCGGCGCCGTCTCAAGTGGAGGCGGCTTTGGCTTGCGCTTTGGAGCAGCCTCAGTGTGGCACCTCTTGCGCCTCCGCCTCTTGCACCTCTTGTTCGGTCGGCTCCATTTAATTATACGTGGTCAAGATATAACACGAACGACAAAGACGACCCGCGAAGCCGGACGACGTTGCCGTCCAGGTCGGTCAGGAGAGGATGTCGTCGCCCAGGTTGCCCAGCACTCTGCTGGCGTTGGCCAGCTGGGCGCAGCGCAGGTAGACCTCGTTGTGCGCCATCATCCGGACAAATTCGAAGACCTGTTGCCCACCGGAGACGAAGCTCGGGCCCAGCATGTGGTCCACGCTGAAGGGCTTGGTGGGAGAGGCGGGCGGCGCGGTGGGGTAGTCCGCCGCGTCAGGGAATTGCTGGCGCAGCTCCAGGTCGTTCAGAATGAGCCTGTTGCCGTCGTAGGCAACGCTCAGACTGTTCGTGGTCTCGCTATAGGTGGCGGTGGCAAAGTTGGAGCTGATCCAGGCGGCCAACCGTGCGCCAGTGTACGCGCCCTCGGGCAACAACGCCCAGTTCAGCGTGCCCAGCGCGGCGTCAACCCAGTAGAGGTAGCGGCCCCGGTCCGTGGACAGGAAACTGTCGGCCAGGCGGATTTTGTAGACGGCGAGCCGGGCGTCGCTCTGCAGGTGCAGCGACTCTCCCAGGTCAACCTCAAAGTCGCTGTCCGAGCCGGCCACCCTCTTGCGGCTGTCCACGTAGATCGTGGTCATCCTTTTCTTTAGGAAACCACCCGTCCGGCGGACGACGGGCGGCTGGACGGCTGCGACGGAGGTGCAGCAGGAGATGTTCTCACACTTCGCGTTGATCAGCGTGGAGCTGGCGAACAGCTTCTGGCCCAGGAAGCTGAGCGCCGCTCCCATCGGCGTCTTTTTCAAGTGCAAACGCTCTTCAAAGCGCTTGTAGAACATTTCATTCCTCGGCTTCAGGTAGTAGACGAAGAGGAAACTGTAGGGTTCCCGCGTTGCCTGCTCATACAGCCGGTACAGCTGCTCCTTTGGCAGCAGGGCGCTCAGCTCCTCAATGACGGCGTCCAGCTCGTGCTGGTTGCGCAGCCTCCAGCAGCAGAGGAACTGCATGTTCACCCGCACGGCTGCGCTGATGAGCCGCAGCTTCTGCGAGCTCACCCAGGTGCTGATCTGCGTATGACGGCCCCGGATGAAGAGAGTGTCCAGGGCGCCGTGAGGCTTGTGCAGCTGCGGCGTGTCAGCAAAGTCGTCGATGACTACAAGCACCTGGTACAGTTTCTTCATTTCCAACTTCTTGGACGCCTCCGTGATCTTGCGCTGCTGCTGGATGATGCGCCGCAGCGCCGCCTCGTCCCACTCGTCCCAAGTCTGCTCCCGCTCTGTGTTCACCCCCAGGTCCTCCTCAATGTACTTCTTGACGGGGATCCAGCCGTCGTCTATGTTGACACTCGGGCTGAAGATGTAAATTCTCTCAAAGACGCCGCGATACTGCTCCAGAATCAGGCTGATCAGAGCCACGGTTTTGCCCGATTTTGATGGCCCGAGGAAGATGCCCGTGCATGGCACCAGGGGCACGACGGGGTCAGAGGGCTGCTTACTGCTACACTCTGTCGTAGGAAACAGCTTGATCTTCCCCATTCCTTTGCGTTACTTCCCAAATTTGAAGCCGGGAAGCCGGGCGGCGAGTCCGTCAGCGCCCTGCTATATAGCAGGGCGCTGACCGAGTTTTCTGGAAGACACCGGGGCAACCTGTGCCCGCGCCAGGATTGAGCGGAGCAATCCTGTGCCCAGCGCAGGATTGTGGGGCAATCCTGTTGGCGGCGAGTATGTCAGCGCAGTGCTGTGTAGCACTGCGCTGACATAGTTTGTCCGGGCAATCCGGGCGGCGAGTCTGGGAGCGCAGTGCTGTACAGCAGTGCGCTGATGGGAGACACCGGGGCAATCCTGTGCCCACGCCAGGATTGAGTGGAGCAATCCTGTGCCCACGCCAGGATTGAGTGGAGCAATCCTGTGCTCACGCCAGGATTGACGGCAGGGCGAGTGAATGGTGAAAAAGAACACTCCGACAGCGGTACGGCGAGGACCGCCCCGCTGACGGACCTTCGGCGCTGACCCGGTGATGGGTTTTTAAGCGAAGTCGGAATTCCGACCTCGGTGTAGAGCAAAGTCGGAATTCCGACCTCGGGTGGCGCAAGCGCGGCCGGGTTGAGGCTTCTATGCCGGGCAGGGATGTGGCGCGGCCGGGAGGCTTCTATGCCAGGCAGGTGGCGCGGCAGGAATGTGGCGCGCTAGGTATCGAAGCCTCCACGTCGGCGGGCTGGCGCGGCTCCGATGCCGGGCAGGTGGCGCGGCCGGGTGGCGCAGTGCCAAGCCGCCGTATGACCGTATGACCGTATGATCCGTATGATTCGTATGACTCGGCGGGCTGGCGTGTCAGGTGGCGCGGCTGGAAACAGGCACCAACCATTTTTTGGTTGCTGCCCGCGTGGAGTTCGGAACTGGAAACAGGCGCCACCCATTTTTTGGGCGCTGCCCGCGTGGAGTTCCACTGCAGACTGCGCCGCGCGAATGCGCAGCGACTGCGCGAACTGCGCAGCGACTGCAGCGACAGCTGCAGACTGCGCCGCGCGAAAGCGCGAACACAGAACATAGCACCTCTCTCTTTAGAGGGGGTTTCCCAAATGGATTCTATTCTACCTGAGAGGCTCCTAGCACTCGTCCGTCCAGGAAATGACCTCGTCCTGCGAAGGATTCGAAGTCTAAAACGCTGCGTGCAGGCGTGTGGCTGCAAAATAATGACCCCTAGATATGCGGTTTGGCAAAATGCCCAGCAGTTGCGTTTCTGCAAGGCGAGCTAAAAAAACAGGGAAAAAAAGAAAGCCAAGCCAAACCAGCCAGAAAGCCAGCCAGGAGCCAAGCCAAACCAGCCAGAAAGCCAGCCAGGAGCTAAGCTTCTGGCTGGCTTTCTGGCTGGCTTTCTGGCTGGTTTTGGTTGGCTTCTGGCTAATTTTCTGGCTGGTTTTGGTTGGCTTCTGGCTGGTTTTGGTTGGCTTCTGGCTGGCTTCCTGGCTGGTTTGGCTTGGCTTCTGGCTGGCTTTCTGGCTGGTTTGGCTTGGCTTCTGGCTGGCTTTCTGGCTGGTTTGGCCAAGCCAAGCCAGCCAGAAGCCAACCAAAAAAGCCAGCCAGGGTTTCCTTTGAGGGGGCTCGCCTTG